GAATTGATTATATTGTTGAAAATAATTTAATGGTAGAAGATATTTTAAAAAATAAAAAAGAGCTTCTTCCTAGAAGTTGGTTATGAAGTTTAAAAGATCTAGAACATTTAATTAAAAAAGAGAAAGAAATACAAGAAGTAAATGTGAAAAGATTTTGGCGTCCCTGTACAATTTATATCTTCAGACCAGAAGAAAGTGGTAAAAGTAGTTTGATACGATATTTGTTTGGTAATGAGATATATACAAAACCACAAAAACAGAAAAGTAGAAGCAACTGGGCAATTTTTTTTTTATCAATAGAAATTTTAATTATCATTATTTTTAATATTTTATTTTAAAAATAGTGGGATGGTTATGACAAATATGAGAATGTTTTATTTGATGAATGGTGAGTTTTTTGTTGAGTTTTTTTTTTTTGAAATTTTTGTATTTATATAAATTTAATATTTAGATACACGACAATCAGGTGGAATGAAATAGTCAAATTATTAAATGATACAGACGAAAGAGTTGAGATCAAACACAAGGGATTTGTTCCGTTTCTTGCAAAATACGTTTTTATGACATTGAGAAAACCTCTACAAGAGGCATTTAATTTCAGAAATGGAAACATCATTGACAATACTACTGTATATAGGGATTGGGGCCAGTTTGAAAGAAGATTAGACTTTGTTATCTAATTTGCTAGTAATTGAAAAGATGGCACAACTCAAATTCACTTTTTCAAAGGCTCTGAAACAGTTTTTCAAAATATGAACTGAAATCTTGGTTTGGTTAGAAAAGATTTATCTGATGAAGAAATAGTAGAAAAATGTAAAGCGTCTGGTTTTAAGAATGGTGAACTCATATTTAAAGATGATAAAGTTTATTGGCAACAAGATTTTCTACAATATAAGAAGAATTATTTAAAGGATTATCCAAAAGTAAAAGAATTGTATCAATACAAAAGAGAACTTGAGAATCCTAATGAAGTCCTTGTTAAACCAGACAATTTAGAATACGATAGTCAAATTAGTAAATGTGATTCTGATGATTCCTAACATACAAAAGAAGTAAAATTAAGAAATAGAGCTAACGGTAAACGAAAAGCAGAACACCAATTAGAGAAATCTGTTATTAAAAAAATTTGATTATAAATATTTATTATTTTTTGTAATTTTAAAATTAATGTTATCAAATTTAATAAAATCATTTTTTATTAATAAAATTTTGTATTATTATCTTTTTTTTTTTTTACGAATTTTTTTACTATTTACAAGATTAACATATTTCTATTGGTCATCATCTGATCATTATACGATTACCGATTGTTTATTTATTCGATTTTTTTTAATTTTTGTTTTCTTTTAGGTGTTTTTCTTATACTGTAGGGCATATTGCATACGAAATAATTCTGGATTCTGTATAGAAAAATAAGACCACATATAGTCGTGAACAGCCTGGCTATTAATACTATATCCCCTTCTTGTATTTTAGGATGCATCTAAGGTATAGTAGTTAATAGTCCTTGTACAGGGTTGTAAATACCTGGCCGGTGCATAAAGATCAATAGGCGCCTACTCCTTATCATAATTGGCCTATTCTTCTTAGAGCACCTTTTGAGGCTATTGTCTTTATTTCTATTATAGGTGAGGATTATTTTGGTACGGGTTGGTGCTTACGAATATGTCCCTCACCAGAATCTCATGATATGTAGTGTCCAAGCTGCGAGATTTGGAAACTTACAATATTGTAAGGCTAATACATATCACAAAAAAAAAAAAATAATAAAATAATTTAAATTCGAAAGTTTTTAAAATATATTTTATAAAACTTTTATTAATAAAATATATAAAATCGTATTATGAAACTATATGTTTTTTGATAAGTTCTACATTTTTTGTTAAGAACATAATATTGATTAGCTTAATAAAATTTTTCGAAAAATATGATATTAGTTTGACGACGATTTTAAAGAAATGATCTGCAAAGAAAAGAAGAAAATCATTTCATCAAAAATCGACCTAATTTTACGAATATCCATTTGTTTGATTTGAAATTTTACATGTGAACTCTCGAAAGTAATCTGTATCGATTTTGTTATCATCATACACAAGATTTTCTTTTAATATAATGTCTAAATTAATAAAAATGTTCCTGTGAATATCAAAATAAAAAATTCGTCAGTAGTTTTTTAACGAAAAAATAGAATATCTCTGCGAATATTTGTTCAAAACCCACGAAAATTCACACAGTATAATTTTGAGATATGCTCTACAAATTTTGTTAATGTGCAGTAATAGGTTTAGAATCAAAATAATTAATCCGCCCCTAGGTACCATGCCTCTTTTATCAAAAACGAATATTCGTGTATGAAAACAAAATGTAAATTGGCAATATCTCAACGAATACTTGACCAAATATTCTGAAAATTCACATACTAATATATGAATACTCCCTCTACAAAAATCTATTAATGGTCAAGATATGCTAAATTATAAAAAAATGTTGCTGCAATCATTCAAAGTCTGGTAATCCAAAAATGAATGTTCGTATATGAAAGCAAAACGTAAATTGTCAATATCTCAACGAATACTTGACCAAAAATTCTGAAAATTCACATACTAATATATGAATACTCCCTCTACAAAAGTCTATTAATAGTCAAGATATGCTAAATTATAAAAAAATGTCACTGCGATCGTTCAAAGTCTGTACGAATATGATTTTTTAGATTCATTTTGGATCGAGAACTCAATTTCAAAAAACCATGACTTTTTTTCATTACCCGATAAATAAATTGATTAATTATCGAGTGGTTTTTAAAAACCACTCGGCATCTAATTTAACCGACCCCCTTTTTAGTAATTTTTGTTACATGCAGCTAAAAAGGCAATTTTTCTGTGTTCAAAAAAAAAACAATATTCAAAGAGAGTACCTGATCCAGTTTTGTACTAGTGAAATATTTGTTGTTTTATCGTAAATTAAGGATATTGTTAACCCAGTAATTTAGCCGGTCAAAAACCACTCACATAGAGTAGAAATTGGAAAATATTAAAATTAGGAAATTTTCTATATCGATCACTCTGATATTTTGTAGCCTTTCCGTAACACTTAGTACAGAAAGGCTATATATAAGGTGTAAATGTAGTTTATACATATATTTTGTATACTATATATACTGGCCCAACTAAGTTCAGATACGGTATATTAAATTTATTATAAAGTTCAGTATATTCAATGTAAATAAATATAGGCTATTTGTTCTGAACTTTTTAATTCGGTATAGCCAGAGTTTGGTATATCAAGGTTCGTTATAGTGAGAGGCGACTGTATACATGATCCAGTCAATAGCGACTTTTGTTTTTTTTTGTTTATACTTAATCTAGCCAATAGCGATCTTTGTATTGATTTTTTTTTATTTATACCTGATCTAGCCAATAGTGATCTTTGTATTGATTGTTTTTGAGTTGCACCTGATCTAGCCAATAAGTATTAAGAATTTGCTAATACACAAACATCAGGTATACTATTGCTCTGCCTGTAATATTCTTTAGACAATTAATTATAAAATTAATCAATAAAAAGCTATATATATTTATTTTAATTTTTGTTAATTTATTTGCTTATTATATATATCAATATCAATTAATTTCTTCAATATACTATTCTAATGGCTGATGCTCAAGAGACAAAACTAAAATATTACCATAGAACTTGTTTTAACTATTATAAATATTTGTATTGTGAAATTGATTTGCAACAGCAAAAATACAATTGCAACTTAACAAATATGCTATACAAGAATAATCAAACAGAAGCTGTCAAATATGCATTTATACGAGTCTTTAAGCCAAACTGAATAAAAGAACAAATAAAATATATTTGTCAAAAAATAGAGTTTTATAATTACTCTAAGTTCAAAAGAAGCTTTTAATTTTTCTTTATATTCTTATTGCAATAGTATATTATTAAGATTATCTTTGAAGACAAAAAAACATAAAACAATATCAACCTCTGTAGCCCTCACAGCTCTCACAGTTATGAATATAGCAAGTTTTTTAAAAATTGAATTATATAATCTTACTACTCTAGAAGATAAACTTAATAAATTTAAAAAAAGAGAATAGAAGTTTACAGATAATAGGAATAACAAACATAATGATGATGAGTATTTATTTGATGAAGATAGTAAATACAAGTATAATTATGGAATTGTTATTAAGTTAGCAAATGGTACAACTATTCTCACCAAATAGTATATATCAACAATTGATAAATTGCTTTCAGAACTTTATATAAATATTAAAACTTTGACAAAAAAAGATCAATCAAATCAAGTAATTATTATATTATATTTAAATCTAAAAAGGCAATAAAAGCAGATACTCAATTAGTAGATAATCATAACTTCAAAAAGTTCCAAGCTGATTACTAAAAATATATTTTTAAAAATAACAATATAGCTTTTTTGTAACTTTTATTAATGTAATTATAATCTTTTTTGTGAGTTTATAGTATAATATATAAATAATAATGATAATATATATCTATATAATTAGGATCTTGAGTTAGACAAAAATTCTGATAATAATACTATTATGAATTTTAAAAATAAGAATTCTATTCCTAAAGCTTCAAATTTATTTCTAAATAAATCTTTAATAGCAAAAATTGTTTTAGAAATTTATAAAAAAAATTATTGTTTTATTCATAACTGACTTTGTTTAAATAAGAATAGTGATAAAGAAAACTATATTGAAATTATATTCATTATGCTTTCAATTTGGGTATCTGAAATTGTAAAAAAAAATTTTATAATAATAAAACATTGTTGATATTTACATTAAAATTTATAAAAGCAATTTTTTTATTGTTGTATACTTTTTTTTATTCATTAAATTTGAATTGACTTTTACCACTTTTATTACATATTTTTTTATGAATTTGCAAGAAAATAACTTTATATATTTTTTGATTTTATATAAAGAATAAAGTGATAGTATCACCAACTGAACTATCTATGCATTCAATATTTGCATATAAATATCAGTCAAAAAAAGATAACTTTTAATACTATCTTTAACACTACTTTCAGCACTACTTTCAGAATTATTACAAGAATCTTTACTATTATCATTATTACAAGATTTTTCATCTTCAACATTACAAGTATCTTTACCATTAGCATTATTATATGTTATTTTATCTTCAGCACTATTACAAATATCTTTGCTTTTAGCATCATTACAAGCTATATTACCATTAGTACTATTACAAGCTACTTTACTATTAGCACTATTACAAATTTCTTTATCTTTGGTATTATTACAAGCAA